TAGCATTCATGTGGAATTTATTATAAAAGAATTTTATTCAATTACACTTGAAATGCCTCTGGATTCTTAAAGGTTCAGTAGCGATAACTGGGACAGAGTGATCATAAAACTGGATGGGCTGTTGGAAGGTGGGGAGGAGGCAAGGGTGACATTGCAGTTGACGGGGGATTTGGAACCAGGGACATTTGTCATAGGGATGTGCTGCAACTTTGGATGCAAAAACTACTCAGTGAAATGCACATTAACAATAGCCATGAAATAGCAGGAAGAGAAACGAGGTTGAGAAATGAGACAGGGGAATCTGTTAGCGCCTGGTGGTGTTCACTGCAGCCTACGTCATGATTAAAAATGGCTGTCAAGCAGGGAGTAAAAAAAAAAAAGGCTATCAAACAGCAGTGGGGTGCGAGGCAAGGGGTACTGGGCCAGGAGCCAGGAGGCTGGGTGCTAGGCCCCTGCAAAGTTGGGCAGATGAGGGCCTCCCTCTAGGGCTGCTGTGAGGATTAGATAAGGTCTGTGGAGCACGTGGCATGGTGCCTAGCATACAGCAGATGCTTACAACACACTGGCTGGTATCATTATTACGGTGGAGTTCTCTAGAATGGAATATTCAACAACCAGGAGTCCTTGGGTGGCACTCACCTACTAGCTCTGGTGGTATAGTGGTTAAGGCATGTGGTTGCTAACCAGGTTGATGGTTCAAACCCACCAGCCACTCCGCAGGAGGAAGATGGAGCAATCTGCTTCTGTAGATTTACTGCCTCAGAAACCCAATGGAGGTCTCTGAGTCAGAATCAACTCTATGGCAATGAGTTTGATTTACTAGCCAAAAGGCAGGAGTCTGGTGGCATAGTGCCTAAGGCACTTGACTGCTAACCAGAAGGCTGGCAGTTCAAACCCACCAGCCACTCCTCAGAAGGAAGGTTGGGCAATCTACTTCCGTAGTGATACTGCCTCAGAAACCCAATGAGGGGTGTCTGTGAGTTGGGTCTGACTCGATGGCAGTGAGTGGTTTTGGTTTAGCCAAAAGGCTGGCAGTTCAAGCCTAGCCAGGGATGCCTTGGAAGGCAGATCTAGTGATCTGCTTCCCAAAGGTCCCCATCTTCAAAACCCAATGGAGCAACTGTACTGTGCACACATAGGGTCACCAAGAGTTGGATTCGACTTGATGGCAGCCAACAAAAGTTTATCTCTGGTATGGGTGCCAAACACTGATCCACAGACAGGACCCGGGTGAGGGGGAAGCAAGTGAGGAACTGTGTTGGGTGCAGAATTTTAGGGCATGCCAAAATAGTAATCAAGATAAATGCTATTTTAATATTATGGGGTTTTATGTTGCTTAAACAATCATTGTTTATTGGGGTACAGATACATCTAACAAGACATCTACCATTTCAACATTTTTCACACGTACTATTCAGTGACCTTACTCCCATTCATGTTGTGCTATCATGACTTTCCGTCTCTAAGTTTGTCCATCACCCCTAACAGAAACCCCATGGCCCTCTAAGCTAAATTTAATTGTACTTTTAAAAAACAACAACAAAAAAAAAATGCCAAAAATAAAAAACCGTGGTGAATAAAATATCCTAATTTTAAATCAAAGCAGGCTGTTGTCTTACAGCCTGTGTTACTGTGTAACGGAACAGTCACGGGGGGTTGACAATGGTATGTGGAGACGGGGCAATGAAGGGCTATAAAGCTATAGTTTTGTTTTGTTTTTTTAATTGTGGTGGTGGTGGCGTTGGGTTCCACCCAGTCAATTCTGACTCACAGCAACCCCATGTGACATAGAACTGCCCCATATGGTTTCTGAGGCGATGATCTTTATGGGAGCAGATCATCAAATCTTTCTCCCACAGAGCCACTCATGGTAGCAGAAAGCACTTAACTTTTACGCCTCTAACTCACTGCCGTCCAGTCGGATCCAACTCATAGTGACCCCTCCTTGGGTTTCCGAAGCAGTATCACTACAGAAATAGATGCCCAACCAAGGAGTGGCTGGTGGGTTTGAACCACCAGCCTTCTGGTTTGCAGTCAAGTGCCTTAGGCACCATGCTACCCTAGGTCCTGTTTTTGACTGTAGAGCTTTTAAGTTTTTCCACTTGACTCAAAAAAGGGGAAGCTGTTGTAAAGGGAGCTCTGGTGGGGACCAGGTTTGCTGGTCCGATAGAGCCTGGTGGAACCACTGAGACTATGGCCCCTAGCTGCCCTTCAGGTCTGGAATTGAACCCACACCTGTGGTTTCCAGCCAAACAAAATACAGGCATATGAGTTAAACATTTACCTCAAATAGATACACTCCTTGGAGAGAACAATCACAGGAGAAAGAAGGGCTGCTTATGCACAGGGAGACAGCTCTGGGGGCAGGAGTGTATGGAGGGATGGACACTGGGAAGAGGTAACTATGGGGAGGAAGTGGGAGGGGAGCTGTTGCATTGTGGTAAACTGTGGTCAATGACATGAGACAAAGTATATGTGAACTGCTGTATGGAAAGTGAATTTGCTCTGTAAATCTTCACCCAAATCACAATTTAAAAAAAAAAAAAAGGAGCTCTGGTGGCATAGTGCCTAAGGCATTCAGCTGCTAACCAGAAAGCAGGTGGGTTCAACCCCACCAGCCACTCCTCAGAAGGAAGATTGGGCAACCTACTTCTGTGGTGATACTGCCTCAGAAATCCAAAGAGGGGTCACAATGAGTGAGATCTGACTTGACAGTGAGTTTGGTTGTTGTTTTTTTTTTTAAATTGTGATAAATGTCCACAGAGGCTACGACTGTCCTTTTCCTCAGCTTCCAACAAGGCTCACTGTGGCACTGCCCAAGAGCAAATGTGCCCCACCAGCCCCGCCTCTGGGCCCACAAAGGGAGGTGTTCTCAAGTTCTCTGAGGCTGCAGGCACGGGAGCGCTACCTAGTGTGCCCTGTGCCTGGGTGGTCTCAGGGTGATGTTTGTTTGTGAGCAGGAAGGTACAGAGCTGGGCCTGGAAGCCCAAGGATTCACATCCAGCCTTTGATGGCCTGTCTTTGGAAGGACTGCTGGGTACAGGGCCTGCACATGGCCTTGTTTCAAAGATGGTCACTTGAGGATGTTGTATTTGCTCCAAGGGGCCCCTCATCTTTGTAGAATGTCTTACCAGGGCTGGGAGTGTGAAGTTGTTTTATTATATACATCCCGCTCCTTCCAGGCATTGAGGTGAGGGCATAACTGAGTGCTTTGCTCTTGGCTGAGCCTTGGGGCTTAGATGGCACAGTTAACTGTCATTAAACAGTAACAGAAACCAACCAACCACTTGCTATCAATCTGACTCATGGCAACACACGTCTGTCAGAGTAGAACTGCGTGCTATGGGGTTTTCAATGGATGGTTGTTTTTTTTAAATAGATCACCAGGCCTCTCTTTCAAAGTGCCTCTGGGTGGACTCCAACCTCCAACCTTTTGGTTACCAGCTGAGTGCTTTAACTGTCTGCCCGACCCATACACTCCAAGATACCATTAATTGCTCTGGAAACACTTGTATTTTTACTTCCTGTTTTCAGTTGTTTGCAAACACCAAGCAACCCCCAAGTATGAAGCCTGGTGTTCACCTAGGGATCAGGGAAGAGGGAGGCACTGGACATGGCCACTTCCTGGAGGAAAGTCACTTAGGGCTCATATGCCCCTTGACCACTCAACCCAACACGAGGGCCACGGCAGCATGACAGGTATGAAAGGACCTGGAAGAGACAAGAAGTGCCTGCTCCTCCTGCGAAATTAGCAGGTGATGTGATAAGTAGGCAGGTAAAAATATGCAGGTGACTGATGATCAAGTGTCTGCTGACTTGCCAGCAAGAAGGACAGCAGTGTGGCCAGCCTCCCCCAGCCTAGCATGGTGTCTGGTGCTCAGTAGCCTCCATAAATAAATGACTGCTGGATTGAATTCACGAGGCCTGACAGTCAGCAACAGCCTGCCCTTCTGAAAAGTCATTTCCTGCAATTAGCAGCATGGAATCTTCCGGTTCTGAGGGTTGTCTCTCCGCCCTTCATAAATATCCCCCTTCCAAGGACGCGGCTGGCACTGGCGGTGCCGTTTCATGGCAGGAGGGAGCAGTGGAGACAACTGAAATAAAATACGCTGGCTCGCAGAGGCATAAACCAGCCAAGTGCGACCTCAGAGAAATACGCACGTCGCTGTTGGCCACGCTGAAGCTGAGGATCTTATTTTCTCAAGCTGGGCCCATAGCCCTGCAGACGCTGGACGCTGTCTGCCTGGGCAGGGGCACGGCGTGCCCTCTTAGAGTGGGTTTTTTTCTCTCCCCGGGGTCTCCATCCTCTCTAGAGGATTCTCCCCGCTGCCCCTGCGCCCCACACACTTCAATCCTGTGGAGTGTTGCTGAGGTCTCGCCTGTAAATCTGCAGTGGGCCTTCATCCCACACTTCAGTGGTGATGCGTGGCTCCGGGGTGACGAAACTACCAAATCCTGTCTGCCTTCTCCTTGATAAATGTGGCATTTAAAGCCCCTCTGGCACAGGTAAATCACAATTACATTTCAAAGGGTCTCTGGTAGCAGTCCAAATCCTTGAACAGCCTGGGTACACAGTCACTCAAGCTCACGGGCACTCTCTCTCGCTAGCTCTCTCTCACACCCACACTCACACACACTCTTTCTCTCTCTCTCACACACACACACACGCACACTAGCTCAAACTTTTCCTACTTCGTTCTTTTTTCCACAGGGCTTTCATTCCAGCCATAACCTTCCATTTCTTTCCCACAATATTCAATTTATTCCCACCTTCTAGGCCAAGGAGAGCCTGGAGAGGAAATAGAATTCTGGAACAGTTCCCAGGGAGACTTGGTGGGGCTTCTGAACCACAACTGAGTCTGGGCCAGCGTCCAGCCCCCCGGGGGAGACCTTCAGGGATCTGGTCCGTGGGGGGCAAAGTCTTCACTTCTTGGCCACTGAGGGGTCAAAGATGGCTCCCCTTGCACTTGTGCCCAGTGCCTCAGGGCTGGTCCTCCCGGTCAGGGCTTCTTGTATATCTTTTCCTGATTCCCTTCCTTCATAGCTGCATATCTGGCTAATGTGAAGAGGTAGTCACTGAGTCTACGGGGGAGAGGGAAGCAAAGGGGACCATCTGAAACAAGAGATCAATGCTAACTGGGTCCTTTCCAAATTAACTTTAAGGGAGGAAACAGAAATTCTGTGCCCCCAGGAGTATCAACTTTGGCTTGATGTATGGCATGCTGAGGAAGAGCTTCCATGACAACCAAGCTCCCCTCCCCCTGCAAGGACTGGGGCTTTCCCTGCAGGATTAGAGGCCTACCGTGCCTCCACCCTGGCCACAAATGATAGGCACCTCTGGCCACTCCCTGCATTGGTTTCTGCACCTTCAAGTGCCAAGATTGGTGCTTCCCAAACTGGAGTGTGTGTGCGAACTCCTGGGACCATGTGAGCATGCAGGGTCGCTCAGGAGGGCACATGAGCTCGGGGCTCTGCCCGTTCACACTCCGTGGAGGTGGCGACGCACTTGCATCACTGCTCTGTGGGGGCTTGCCGAGGGAATGAACAGATCTGGTGCACACAACTCCGTGGGGTCACTCGCAGCTGTGGAGATGGAATGGCGCTATTCCCCCGTGTTGGCCGAAAGAGACCACACTCCACTCCCAGGCGGGAGCTGTCGGGGCTCCCTTATCCCCATGGGAGAGGTGTTCAAAGGAAGGGGCCAGCACCAGCCGTAGGGTCCCTTTCTGGCCACCTGGGGCACCTCCCTGGGCACAGCCCCATCCTCTTTTCTTCTAGCCCGTTCCTTGCACTGCACAAGCCAAGGCTGGGGTGGGCTCTGGTGTGGTAACTGGCCAGTCAGGCTTTGGGCTGCTGAGGCCAAGCTGGGAAGCTGAAGGATTTCTGAGACCTGCCCCAGGGCCCAGACAGGCTTTGCCTGGCTGTCTTCTCCCTGTTCATACTGCCTGGGGACCTTGGAGAGTAGGGGTTGGGGGAGGATTGGCTGAGAGAGGGGATCCCATTTTCTGGGCTCCCTTGTCAGTCACCATCAAGACATCCAACCTCAGAAAGGCCCCCTGTGACCACACTCCCTGTACACCTAAAGCATTTTCTGTGCTGGCTTTGTTTACGTTACAGCACCCTCTCCCCACAAGGTCCTACCCTCAGGGGATAGGGACAGCATCTGCCTGGTCCCCCACTGGATCCCTGCACCCAGGGCCTGGCATACAACGGCTGCTCGGTGACTATTCAGTGACAGACCAAATGAGTGAATGACCACAACCCAGCCCTGCTCCTCGGGCCCATTCCACGGCGATTATGCCCTGAGGAATGTGCCCAGTGTTTCCGAGGAGGGGTCCCCTCTGAAGCACGCTCAGTACCTGTTTAAGAACTTGGCCACGTTTGCATCCGTCTCTCCCATCTGGACAAGAGGCACCACGCTGGAAAGGAAGGGGATATTCCAGTGTACAGATACAGAACATATACATATATATATACACATAGACCGCATTGTGGTATTCAGCACACCCTCCTCCTGATGTGGGACTGGAGCCCTGGGCACAGAAAGCCCCACGGCCTGCAGCTCCCAGACCTAAGCCTGCACAGAAACCACTGGCCTCACAGATGGAGAACAAACCCCGGTGTGTAAACAAGGCACCTGGGGCGGGTCACGTGCATGGCTTGGCTGAGGGGAGTAGAAGATGGCACAGAGGATGTGGTGCTCCACATCCCAGGCCTGCCTGCCTTTATCTCGCTAGGCCTGAGGATCCTCCCTGGATGTGGTGAGGGGCAGGAGAAGGCGATTTTAAACTCCCAAGGAGTTACCACTCTAAGCCCCTTCTAACTTATGACTTAGAGCAACCTCCAGTTGCCATCGAGTCAGCTAACTCATGGCAACTCCTTGCGTGTCAAAGTAGAGCTTTGCTCCCCAAGGTTTTCAGTGGCTGATTTTTGAGACAATCACCAGGACTCTCTCCTGAGCCCCCTTGAGGTGGACTCGAACCTCCAGCCTTGTAGCCAGCATCTGAGTACAGTAACCATGTGCACCACCTGGGGCTCCAACTTCACAGGGGAGAAAAAGACCCAAGCAACCAAACTCCCACAGTGTGTGTGAGTCTGAACTCACGGGTGCTCTTACCAGTCTGTGTGCAGACCTCCTAGATGTTGGGCTGCCATTTACTGAGCACCAGTGGGATGTGGCAGGCCCGTGCCAGGCCTCTCCTGCATAGCACCTGTCTGCACAAGCTTGCTGGGAGCCACTCTCCCCACTTTCAAGATGAGAAAATCGAGGCACAGGGTTTCTGTCCCCACCCAGGCCACACAGGAAGTAGCCCAACAAGATTTGCACCCAGGCTGTGGTAGTTATGTGTCAACCTGGCTGGGCCTGGTCTTGAGTGGCTGGGTAGCTGGATGTAGTTACTCCCCGTGATAAGACTGGTTTGTAGTCAACTCCAGGGTGGAACCTACTGGAGCAGCTGAGTAGCTGCCTTGAGAGCTGTGGTCTGCTTCCACCAAAGCAGCAGCAGCATTGAGAATGGTCTCTGCAGCTTTTTGGCACGCCTGGACCCTGCATGTAGCAGAATGTTCATTCACCGGGCTGCTGTTTCCTGCCTATCTTGGGCCTATCTTTGGACTTGAACTAGTGGCCTGCCATGTTGTTTGGTAATCTTGGAACTGTGCCATTTTACTTGTTGACCTTGGGTTTGTCAGCCTCAGCAGCCAGCAGCTGCCTGAGTTAAGAGAAGCCTCTAGCTTCAGCAGGCCAGGAGCAAGAGGCAGAGCTGAAGCCCAAGGTCAAGAGGCTTTCCCCCAGTCCCTAGAGCTGGCACTTGGAACTCAGACTTCTAGCCTCCAAAATTATAAGAGAATATATCCCTGTTTTTCAAGGCCATTCATTTGCGGCATATTTTCTGGGAGAGCAGCACTAGGTAACTGAGACACAGGCCAGCCCCACAAAACCCGCAAGTCGCTGCAGCTACAGCTGCCCCTGTGGGGTCCTCACTCCATGCTGGGCTCCCCTCAGTGGTCCATATTTTCCATACCATGGGCAGTCTGTATACTGTCACTTCAATGCAGTACAATTGTCTGGTATGCTGATGACCCACTGTCTCCTTGGCCAGTTCCCACTGTTGAGTCTTTGGGTTGTTTCCAATTGTTTGCCATTCCGAGTATGGCTGATGGGGGTAGCTTTGTAAAAACCAGCAGAGTTTTCTTTCAAAGCCATAGCTCTTTATATTAACCAGGATCCCTTTCAAGACCATCTGACCCCAAGATCCTTTCAGGGAAGGATACCACCTTTGTGATGTAGGATGGTGGAGAGAGGCTGGGGTTTGGGGCCAGACAGACCTGGGCTCAAATCCTGATTCCAGCACGAGCCCCCCAGGTGACCCAGGCGACAGCATCACTTCTCTGAGCCCCAACTGCCTCCCTCCTGTGAGAGGGGGGCCACCTCTGCCTCTGTCCCAGGGTTCTCATCAGTAGAACCAGGAAATCATGAACAGAAAGTGCTGGTACAGCCCTGTCATGTGTCAAAGTAAGGTTCTGTTTCCATTTTTCCATAAAGCTGTGGGCCTGGTCTGTGAATGGCTTAAATGCAGATTTTGCAATTACTCCTTTAATGTTTCCTTGAAAAGGTTGTCAGTAGCTCTTGGAGGTCCCTTCTCTCCAACTCTGAGTGAGGGGAGTTTGGGGTTGGTATGATGATAGTGACTGCTAACCAGGAGGCTGGCGGTTCAAACCCACCAGCCACTCTCAGAAGGAAGGTTGGGCAATCCTACTTCCATAGTGATAACTGTCTCAGAAACCCAAGGAGGGGTCGCTAGGAGTCGGGGCCGACTCGATGGCAAATAACAACAACAGGATGATAGTAGCTTCTATCCAAACTCCCATGGTTTGCAGGCCCCTCCAGACCCTCCTCTACCCAGCCACCAGAGGGGGTCCTTTCAAAATGCAGAACCAGTATCAATCTGGTCCGATGGCCTAGATCCTGTCTAGACCCTCAGCACCCGGAACCCATCTGTAGTAGCTTCCTCGCTCTCAGGATGGAGCAGACACCCTGCAGGGCCTAGGAGGCCCCGCCTGCCCTGGCTTTGCTCACCCCTCTGGCCTTGTCTTGCCCCATGCACCCCCCTTCTCTCTGCATCCAGGCCTTCCCACCTCCCACCTGTTCTCTCAAAGCAGACTCTGTCTCCCACTTTGGGGTCTCCCCTACAGTTCCTGTGCCTGACCACTGCCCTGCCTCTCCCCTCATCCTTTAACTTGGCTCAGGCTGCCCAGCTCTGAGAGACCTCTGCCCATATTCCCCGAGGCTGCAGCGTCCTGGCTCTGAGCACCGTTCCCCCATGCTCCTTGTCACGGTGTGCAGTTATACAGTCACTTAGGCACGCTCAGCTCAAACAGCACTTCCTCTCTCTGGCAACCTCCCCTGACCACACCATCTAAATTAACACCCCAGGAACTGGGGAGTGAGTCCCCTTTCATCCTTTTGTGTCTTGTGAATGTATTACCCAGTTCAAAAACACTGTATGTGTGAATTTACAAATGAAGTTCCCAGGACCTATTCCCACCCTGTTCATGCTTATCTGCCATAGTGCTGATTGTGATGGGAAGTGACATATTTAGGGAGCTCTGGTGACACAGTGGTTAAGTGCTTGCCTGCTAACTGGAAAGTCAGTGGTTTGAACCCACTTTCTCCTGTAGGAGAAAAGATAAGGCTGTCTGCTTCCACGAAGATTACAGCTTTGGAAACTCTCTGGGGGAGTTCTGTTCTGTCCTATAGGGTTGCTAAGAGTCAGAGTCAACTCAAAGAAATAGGTAACAGGTATTGGTTTAGTTATTCCCTGCCCTGAAATGTAAGGGCTCTGGGGACAAGGACTTGAACACAAAGAAGGTCTGTCAACGTGGGGCTGGACCCAACCCTGTGAGGCTCCATCTCGTTCTCCCTCGGGCCCCCTTACCATCTCTCGGCTCGACGGCACACGGCCCGGCAGAGGTGCAACACAGAGCTGCTCTTGCCTCCTGACTGAAAGGAGAAAGTGGGTGTTGGCTGGGGGCAGAGGTGTGGGTGTGGGGTGCCCACATGCAGGCCCTGACGCCCCTCTGGCAGTGTTCTGCCCTTCCTCTCCAACATGGGCAGGGCTGGAGGGGACTTAGGGGACCATTTCTGTCACTGTTAGTAGCAGAAGAGGGGGTCTGATCAAAGCCCCTATGTTTCTGTCCATCCCCATGACCAGCAGCCCTCCCAGGTGGAGACCATCCAATACCTACAGGCAGAATAAAGGCCGTGAGAGGTGGGAGCTGGCTGGAGTACTTGTCAATCCACTGCTCCAGCTCCAGGATGGGCGCTTCTGTGAATGCGGCCTGTTCTGAGGTGGGGAGCAGAATGTCAGCGCCCTGAAGCCCATCATGTGTCATCAGGAAAACAGTCCCCACACCCTTCTGCCCAGGAAGCCATGCAAACCACTTCCACTGATGCAGGTGGTACCTCACCTCCCAGGGTCCATGAGCATGACTGGCCCACCTGTGCATCCCAGGTGGTGACTCCCCAGGGAAGAGACCCCTGGGAGCCTAGACCCCCCACAGGGCCCTCTTAATACACACAGCGGGTTTGAGAATTACTTAAGTGCGCCTCCCTGGCCGAGGAGCGGGGCGTTGCGAGGGCGGAGCCGACATCCTGCAGCATACACTGGATCTGGGGGAAGCAGGAGAAGGTGAGAATGAAGCCGTATTTGTGATAGGCTGGGCATGATTCTACGCAAGGCTGGCAAGTGCTTGTGTGCAGGGCTCTATCAGAGCCTCGGATGAGCTGGCGCTTAAAGGCCAATTAGCAAACTCTGTCTGCATCATGGACACCCAGCCCTGCTGAGGGGTACCTGGCATGGCTCTTTTGGGGGCTGTTGGAGGAAAAGCCTCCCTTGGAGGCCACTAGCTCACACATATGGTCACACAAGCATCTCAGTGACAGTCAAGAGGTACCTTCTGGTCCTGATCACTGTCTTCTACATGCCTGGGCCCTGCAAAGGTTTGTTCCTTTATCCTAAACTGACAGCTTTGGTTTTCTAGCCCAAAGGTTGGCAGTTTGAACTCACCAGCCACTCCACAGAAAAAAGATAGAGCAGTCTACTTCCATAAAGATTACAGCCTTGGTAAACCTTATAGGGAAGACCCATTCTGTTCTACAGGGTCTCTATGAGTCAAAAAAGACTCAACTGCAATAGGTTTGCTTTTTTTCTGATTACCCATTAGGCCAAGAGGCCAAATGTAACAGTGCTTTGCAAACTGTGAAGGCAGGGAGTGGCAGGAACATAGTCTGGGAGTCAGCTGAGGTTTGTGGAAGGTTGAGGCTGAGGAGTGTTCTGGAAGCAGGAAGCATGGCTGGGGTGAGGCCTGTACTCTAAGGGGGACAGCGGATGTACTGGGAATAGGGGGAGCCCATCAGCTTGAGAGGACTGAGCTCCTGGCCCATCAATGAGACCCACAACACCTGCTTCTGCCTTTGTCCTCCATTTGGAGCTGTGGGGAGGGAGGAGGTCTGTAGCCTCTCACAAAACAGTCACCGTGACAGGGTATGAGGAAGTAGGACACAGTGGATGAGAGCACAGGAGACTGCTGACCCCATGCTGGACACAGACTAGCTGGGAGACCTCAGGCAAGTTACCTGCCTTTCAGTATCTGTGCCTTCCTGGTGGAAGAGGGCAGTGATAATTAATACCCCCGGGGTTGGCCAAGCACAGCATTGATCCCCAGGGACTAGAAAGAGTTTGTACCAATTTCAGAATCAAGAGAGACTCCAGCTCTGCTGAATCTTGGCTGTGGGGCCTTGGGCCAGTCTCCCTTTCTGAGCCTTGGTTTTCCTCTGATGATATGTGGACACTAACCTCCACCTTGTAGGCTTCTGCAGTGATCAAGCAGGACCATGGCCTGCAGCAGCCCCAGGACCCTATTTTGCTCCCAGGATCCTGGATGTATCACCAGGGGCACAAAGCCGGGCAGTACTGGAGGGCTGACCCTCCAGGGAGCAGTTTCTAATGACTCAGGTCAACCTGCGTACCAACTAGGCCGAGACCTTTGACCACATCCGTAGCGTTCTGGGGATGGTATCTGGCCTCTGTTTTTGAAGTTCTCTCTGGAGTCAGAGTGCCCATTGCTTCTTAAGGTGTAGAGCGATAGTACTAACAACTAAGGTGCCCGCAGCTGGGCCACCCCGAGCTCCGTCATGGCATTAACTGAGGCGCTGCAGGTGGGGTAGCCACCCTGATGCTCCTCTCGTTCTTTGTGGTGAGGGCAGACGTGTGCGCTGTACGACGTTGAGCAGCACCCCGGCCTTGACCCACACAATGCCAGTAACACTGCCCCCTCCCAGCTCCTAACAACCAGAAATGTCTCCAGACCATGGTTGGGGTCCCCTGGGCAGTAGAATCACCCTGACCTGAGAACCCCTGCACCTTACGCATCGCATCCCTCACTAATGCGGTCCTCACACCCACCTGTGAGGGAGCGTCATCTCTATGTGCCCCATTTTACAGCTAAAGGGTGACTGAGGGAAGGACAGTGCTACTCACCTTCTGGAGTTCTTCACCAAATGTATGGCCTTTTTCCGTGATTAATTCCATAGCAAACCTATGAGGAATAAAGGAAAAATAATTGCCTCTGATAATTTCCCCAGGGCCTATTTGACTGTGAGAAAAGAAGGCTTTCAGGTGGTACACCATTTAGCTAATTTTGTTCTAATAGTCATGGGGTTATTTTTCTTGCTGACAAGAGCACCATAACCTTCCATTTGGATAGGGATATCTGCTTCTTAAAATGCCTTCACTTCTACTTATTCACCCACTCAGCCTTTATGTCGGGGTGCCTCCTCTGGCCAGGCCCAGTGCCTCAGTGGGAAGCTCTATCCATCCAGCATACCTGGTGTCTAGCGGGAGAGGGAGAGACACCAAGCAGACAGCACACTACTGAGCGTAGCATTGCAAACAGGAGTTTGCGCTCCGAAAGGAAGGACAAGAGTCCCTGTCTCAGCTGGGAGTCAGGGAGCACTCCCTGGAGGAGGTGATGTTAGAGGTGGGACTATGAAGGCTGAGTGAGTCCCTCAGGGAGGAGGGCTGGCATGAGGATGTAAACTGGCCTGGATGGAGGTCAGGCCCCCTGGCTTGGGCTCCCTCAGCACACTGCACCCCCTTCCACACCAGCCAGGGCCCTGGCAGGGAACACTTGGCGGCAAGAGGGTTACCAGAAGAGGGTTTTGTGAAGGGACGGTGCTACTGAGAGCTGGTGCCTCTGAGGCACGAGCACAGGATGTGAAGCCAGCCCTCCTGACTCCCACGCACCCTTCTCTGTAACAGCCGGGCCTTGGGACTGGCGCTGCTCGCACTGTTTACAGCTTGCTGAGTGGGATGAACTAAACTACACTTCCCAGATAGTCACTGCCTCTCCCGCTCCACTGTCAGGTGTGTCCACGTGACTGGCGCTGGCCAATCAAATGTTGAGCAGGCGTGGTATAGTCTCTGCTGGTGGAAGCTTGCTTGCATATTTTCTTTTAGAAGGATCAGCACAAGGCTATGAGGCAGAGGTTAAAGATGTCCCAGATGCCCCCAATGTCCAACTTTTCCAAACTGCTGTACCCCTCCATCATCTCTAACAAGAATTCCTCCTCCTCCTTTCCCCTCATTACTCTCTCTCCTGTCTTAGGGTTCCGTATTTCACTGCAATGTCTCACAGAACTCACAAACTGCCAAGGAAATGGCTCAGGTGGTGGTGGGGGCTGGGAACCTGGTTAAGTCTCAAGTCTGCAGATAGGTCTGGAGGATTTGCCACACCTGTGTGGTTACAGGGGCTGGTGAGTCCAAATGAGCGGGTCAGATGACCAGCTGCTGTCTCAAGTCCAGGGGTGATGACGACGAACCAAACACAGGACCAGAGCAAGAAAGGGCAAATTTTCCCAGAACGTTCACCCACACACCCTCAAGGAAACGAAGGGTGGTGCCTTGAGTCATACCCTTCAGCAAGGCGGGACTCAAGACACACCCCACCCTAAACAGGCGTAGAGGCTAGGACTTACAATACACCACAAAATGGAGGACTGGTTAGAAGGGACAGGATGCAGGTCTCTTCTGCTGGAAGTTCCAGGAGCCAGCATGAGTTCACCATGCTGTCTTTTCCCTCTGCCCTGATGGTTGGTGTGGTACTTAAGTTTGTGTGTCAACTTGGCTGGGCCTGGTTGAGTGGCTGGGCAGCTGGATGTAGTATTCCCCATGATGAGACTGGTAATCAACTCTATGGTGGAATCTACTTTGAGCAGCTGAGTAGCTGCCCAAGTGATATGGCCTGCTTCCTGTATATAAGGAGATGCCTTGGGGAAAGGTCTCTAGCTTATGGCACACTTGAACCCTGTGTGTAGCCATGTCGTTGTACAGCAGCCTGCCATGCTCTGCCAACCTTGGGACTTTCAATAGACTTGAATTAATGGCCTGCAGTGTGGTTTGGTAACATCAGGACTCTGCCTTGTTGCTTGTCAACCCTGGGCTTGTCAGCCTCAGCAACCAGCAGCTGTCTGAGTCAAGAAACACCTCTAGCTTCAGTGGGCTGGGAGCAGGAGGCAGAGCTGAAGCCCAAGGTTGGGGGCTTTCACCCAGCCCCTAGAGCCTGGCACTTTAAGCCTCCAAACTGTGAGAGAATAAACTCATTTCTTCAAGCATTATATTCTTGTCAGAGCAGCACTAGGTAACTAAAGCAGCTGGTATTGTTCCAGGGTCCCCTACCAGCCCAGGTCCAGGAGTGAAGGTCACGTGGAGCAGAGCTGCTGCCAGCCAATGATGGGCTTGAAGCAAGGGCACAGAATCCACCTTTCATGGCATAAGCCATGGGATTCGGAGTCCGCTTGTTACTGCAACATGGCCTGGCCCATTCTGACCAGTTCCCTGAGTCCACCATCTAAACCTTAGCTGCTGTAACAAACAGCACCAACTAAGTTGCTTAAAACAACACAGATATTTATCTTCCAGTTCTAGAGGTCAGAAGTCCAAAATGGGTCTCACTGGTTCGCATCAAGGTGTCAGGAAGGAAGCTTGGCCCTTATGTAGCACATCTGACACACACCTTCTGTGTTCAGCTCACCCCTTTCACTTCATGTGTGTAGTTCGAGGGCACACACACACTCCCTGAAACAGTGAGGGAGCCGAGGGTGAGGGGAGGCAGCTACATGGTGAGGGATAGATGCCAGCCTGGGAGAGGCAGGGCCAGAGGGGAGAGGGGTCTGCAGCCCAGGAGATGCCCCATGCTTCCAGGCTGAGGCAAGTCCATTGAGGGTTGGGACTAGCAGCCCTCACGTGCATTTCACAGATATTACATTTACTAATGCCCAATTCAAACTGAACCTCAAGGCCAATCCCATCTTCCTTACCCAATAACCGAACTTAATTCATCTGTTGTTCCCACAGCTTCGAACACTTGGTCATCTTTCGGTCTTCTTTCTCCCGTGAAGGTGCTAGAAAACCCTGTGGGAAAACGTGTGGCTGGCTCAGATTATGGCTTTTATTTCCTGGTATGTTCTTTTTAAAAAATGTTAACTTGAAGTATAACACATACACAGAAACTCGTAAATACACAAGTTGATGAATTATTACCAAAGGAACGTGCCTCTGTAACCAGCACAAGAAACAGAACACAACCAGCACCTAGAACCCACCATGTGTCTCCTTCAAGAGCTCCCCCCAGTCAGTAACTACTGTCCTGACTGCTTTCCTAATAGGCTTTTATTTTAAACATACAGTATTCATTCGTGACTGTTAGGTGCCATCAAGTCCGCCCCGACTCACAGTGACCCGGTGGACACAAGAATGGAACACTGCCCAGGCCTGGGCTTCCCAACTGCTGCTGTGCTTGAGACCACTGTTGCAGCCACTGTGTCAGTCCATTTTGTTGAGGGTCTGCCTCTTTTTCGCTGACCTTCTACCAAGCATGACTTCCTTCTCCAGGGACTAGTTCCTCCTGATAACATGTTCAAAATACGGGAGATGAAGGCTCACCATCCTTGCTTCTAAGGAGCATTCTGGCTGTCCTTTATATATATATATATGTGTGTGTGTGTATATATATATATGTATATGTATATATATGTGTGTATATATATATATATATATGTATATATATATGTTGTTGTTGTTGTTGTTTGCCGTCGAGTCGGTCCCGACTCATAGCGACCCCTCCTTGGGTTTCTGAGGCAGTATCACTACGGAAGTAGGATTGCCCAACCTTCCTTCCAAGGAGTAGCTGGTGGGTTTGAACCGTCAGCCTTCTGGTTAGCAGTCAAGTGCCTTAGGCACTATGCTACCAGAGCTCCTATATATGTGTGTGTGTGTGTGTGTGTGTGTGTGTATACGTATACACACACACATTAAACCTTATGCACATATACTCAAAAGTCCTCTGACCTCCTGCTTAGCTTATATTTCCTGCCCTTCTCCCCTCAACCACTAGGAAGGAGGACACCACCACCGCAGACAGCAGAATCAGCTAGACTTTGGTGTTGCTCCAAACTCACAGGGAGGCGCTGGTGGTCTCTGGTTGAACACAAATGATCTCAAAGAACACCAATATCATAGGATCAACGCAAGCTGTGTGACGGATCAAGATCCAAACAAGACTACTCTGTAATCATGTTTGCTGCCATTTTCCAAAGTGTAACACCATGCAGGTCACTTGCTGTTGTTAGTGGCTGTTAGTTGGCCCTGAATCATGTCCACGCCATGCACAATGGAACAAAACGCTGTGCCATCGCCATGATCGCCTATGGATCACACCCTTGTGATGCACTGGGTTTTCACTGGCTCATTTTCTGAAGCCACCACTCGTCTGTCAGGATGTCGTGCTGTGGTGACTTGCATGCTGCTGTGATGCTGGAAGCTAGGTCACTGTTATTTCAAATACCAGCCATGTCGCCCATGGCTGGCAGGTTTCAGCACAGCTTCCTGACTAAGAGAGACTAGGAAGAAGGACCTGATGCTCTACTTCTGAGGAAACTGGTCACTGAAAACGTTATCGACAGCAGTGGAACACTGATACAGCACTGAAGACAAGCCCCTCAGGAAGGCACTCAAAATACGACTGGGGACCTTCATTTGCTGAGGTGGCATGTCTCAAAATGAAAAGACCAAAAACCAAACTCACTGCCATCAAGTCGATTCTGACTTATAATGATCCATAACTGGGTTTCCAAGGCTATAAATCTTTATAGAAGCAGAGTGCCTCATCCTTTTTCCACAGAGCAGCGGGTGGGTTCAAACTACCAACCTTTTGGTTAGCAGCCAAATGTCTTAACTACTGTACCATCAGAGCTCCTTCAAAAGGAGAAGAAACATCTGCAAACATTCATTAATAACTGGAACATGGAATGTATGAAGTATGAATCTAAGAAAACTGAAAGTGGTCAAAAATGAAATGGAATGCATAAAAATTGACATCCTAGGCATTAGTGATCTGAAATGGACTGGTATTGGCCATTCTGAATCAGACAATGATATGGTCTACTATACCAAGAAGGAGCTCTGGTAGCAGAGTTGCCTAAGGCACTTGACTGCTAACCAGAAGGCTGGCGGTTCAAACCCACCAGCCGCTCCTCGGAAGGAAGGTTGAGCAATCTACTTCCATAGTGATACTGCCTCGGAAACCCAAGGAAAGGTTGCTATGAGTTGGGTCCAACTCGACGGCACATAACAACAACAACAACAATACTATACCAAGAATGACAAATTGAAGAGGAATGGCAACTGCATTCATCATCAAAAAAGCATTTCAAGCTATCCCGACGTACAATGCTGCCAGTGATAGGATAATATCCATATGCCCACAAGGAAGACCAGTTAATATTATTCAAACTTATGTACCAACCACTATCAACCAAAGATGAAGAAACTGAAGATTTTCACTCATTTTTGCAGCCTGAAATTGATCAAACATGCAATCAGGAAAGACAGTTGGAAAACATGACCTTGGTGATAGAAACGACACGGAATGACAGAATTTTGCTAGACTGACGATTTATGCATTGCAAATACCTTTTTCAACAACATAAAAGGTGACTATACATAGAAATCAAATCAACTACATCTGTAGAAAGAGGTGAAGAAGAAGTTCAATATCATCAGTCAGAATAAGGTCTAGGGGCTGCCTATGGAACAGACCATCAATTGTTCATATGCTAGTTCAAGTTCAAGCTGAAGAAAATTAAAACAAGTCCACAAGAGCCAAAATACAACCTCAATTATTTAGAACCTGAATTTAGAGACCATCTCAAGAATAGATTTGATGCCCTGAACACTAATGACTAAAGACCAGATGAGTTGTGGGATGACATTAAGCACATCAGACATAATGAAAGCAACAGGTCATTAAAAAGGGAAGAAAGAAAAAACCAAAATGGATGTCAGAAGAGACTGAAACTTGCTATTGAATGGAGAGTAGCTAAAGCAAACGGAAGGAATGATGATGTAAAAGAGCTGAATAGTAGATTTCAAAGGACAGCTTGAGAAGACAAAACAAAGTATTATAATGAAATATGCAAAGATCTGGAGTTAGAAAACCAAAAGGGAAGACTACACCAGGCATTTCTGAAGCTGAAAGAACTGAAGAAAAAAATTCAAGCCTCCAGTTGCTAATACTGAAAGATTCTATGAGCAAAATATTGAATGACACAGGAAGTAACAAAAGAAGAAGGAAGGAAAACAAAGAGTTACTGCACCAGAAAGACTTGGTTGATGTTCAACCATTTCAGGAGGTGGCATATGATCAAGAGCCAGTAGTACTGAAGGAAGAAGTACAAGCTGCACAGAAGGCATTGGTGAAAAATAAGGCTCCTAGGAATTGATGGAATACTGATTGAGATGTCAAATGTATGCAACACCGGAAGCACTCAATTGTCTATGCCACAAAATATGGACGACAGCTACCTGCCCAACTGACCAGAAGAGACACATATTTGTGCTCGTTGCAAAGAAAGGTGATCCAATAAACTCAAACACATTGCCGTCGACAAAGATCCGACTCATAGCAACCCCTCATTGGGTTTCTGAGGCAGTATCTCTACGGAAGTAGATTGCCCAGTCTTCCTTCCCAGGGTAGCTCGTGGGTTTGAACCACCAGCCTTCTGGTTAGCAGCCAAATGCCTTAGGCACTACACCAATAGAATACGGAAATTATTGAACAATATCACAAACAAGTAAAATTTTGCTTAAAATAATTTAAAAACAGTTGCAGCAGGACACTGACAGTGAAGTGCCAGAAATTCAAGCCAGAATCAGAAGAGGGCATGGCACAAGGGATATCATTGCTGATGTCAGATGGATCTTGGCTGAAAGCAGAGAATACCAGAAGGATGTTTGCCTGTATTTTACTGACTATTGAGAGGCACTTGACTGGATGGATCATAACAGATTATGGATAACATTGCGAAGAATGGGAATTCCAGAACACTTAATGATGCTTAAGAGGAACCTGTACATAGACCAAGAAGCAGTAGTTTGAACAGCACAAGGGGATACTACATGGTTTAAAATCAGGAAAAGTATGCATCATGGTTGTATTCTTTCACTATACTTATTCAATCTGTATGCTGATCAAATAATCCGACAAACTGGACTATATGAAGAAGGATGCAGCATCAGGATTGGAGGAAGACTCATTAACAACCTGGGATATGCAGATGACTCAACCTTGCTTGCTGAAAATGGAGACTTGAAGTACTTACTGATGAACATCAAAGCCTACAGCCTTCAGTATAGATTACACCTCAACATAAAAAAAAAAAAAATCCTTATGACTGGACCAATAAGCAACATCATGATAAATGGAGAAAAGACTGAAGTTGTCAAGGATTTTGATCCATAATCAACACTCATGGAAGCAAAAAGCAAAAAAAAAAAAAAAAACAAACCACCATGGAAGCAGCAGTCAAGAAATTAAATGACATACTGCACTGGGCAAATCTGCTACAAAAGACCTCTTTAAAGAGCAAAGATATCACTTTGAAGACTAAAGTGTGTCTGACCCAAAACATAGTGATGGTTAAGGTTGTATGTCAGCTTGGCTGGGTCATGACTCTCACTGGTTTAGCAGTTATGTTGTACTGACTCCCCATGATGAGATCTGATACAATATAATCACCTCTATGACGAGATATGCTACGACCAGCCGATCAGTTGAAAGGGAATTTCCTTCAGGGTGTGGCCTGCTCCCAAAAGACATGGAAAAGCTCTGGCAAAGCCCTCTGGCTTTTTGCTGGATCAAGATCCTGCATCTGGCTTGTCATCATCTGACCACCAGTTCTTAGATTTGAACCTGTGGCCTTCTATATTGCTTGCTGATGTTGGGATTACTGCCCACCCAGCCTGTGAGCCAACAGCCTGCCATCTTACCTGCCAATCTTGGATTTGTCAGCCTCAAAGCCAGCAGCCTGCTGTGCTGCCTGCGGACCTCGGGTGTCAGCCCCTGTAGCTATGTGAGTCAGGAGAAAGCTCGTTTGACATCTGACCCACAGACTTGGAACTTGTCAGGTTCTACAAGTCCATGAGCCATTTCCTCCCCCTCCCTTTATTTATTTATGCATTTTATTTAAATATAATTTATGTACAGTGAAATACACAAAACTAAATGACATGGGTCATTGTGTTGCTTTTTTTTTCTTTGCAGTGTTCCCTCCCCTCCCCTCCCACCCCTGGCAACTAACAAAGAAAGTTTTCCTCCATTTATAAACCTTTCCTTGACCCTCCACAACAACGAACTAATACTATATTTGTCCTTCTGTGACTGATTTATTTCACTCAGCATAATGTCCTCCAAGTTCATCCATATTATGCGGTGTTTTGTAGACTCTATATTATTCTGTAATGCTGCATAGCATTCTATTACATGTATGTACCATAGTTTGGTCATCCACTCTTCCACTGATGGGCATAGAGGCTGTTTCCATCTTTTTGCTATTGTAAATAGTGCTGAGATGAACATGAGTGTGCATATATCTGTTCCTGTCCTGGCTCTCACTTGTCTAGGATATATACCTAGTAATAGGATTGCTGGGTCAAATGGTATCCATGAGCCATTTCCTTGAAGTAAATTTTTTTCTCTCTCTCCCTACAAGCTTCACTGGTTTTGCATCTCTGAGAACCCAGCCTAAGACACCATGGGATTTTCAATTACCTCATATGCATGCAAAAGCTGGACAATGAATAAGAAAGACCAAAGAAGAGTTGAAGCATTTGAATGGTGGTGTTGGTGAAAAATACTGAATATACCATGGATTGCCAGATGAACAAATAATTTGTCTTGGATGAAGTACAGCCAGAATGCTCCTTAGAAGTGAGGATGTGAGACTTGCCTCTTGTACTTTGGTCATGTTGTCAGGAGGGACCAGTCCCTGGAGGATATCATGCTTGGTAACGTAGATGAACAGCAAAAGAGGAAGACCCTCAGTGAAATGGACTGACACGTGGCTGCAACGGTGGGCTCAAGCATAGCCAGGACTGTGAGGATGGCACAGGACCAGGCAGCGTTTCGCTGTGCTGTACACAGGGTCACCATGAGGCAGAGCCGACTACATGGCACCTAACAACAATTTTCTGAAGCAGCCACCTTAGTCTGAAAGCTCCACTGAAACCTGTTCAGCTCAGAGCAACACGCAAGTCCCCACTGACAGGCGGGTGGGGCATGAGCTGGGAATTGAACCCTAGTCACCTACATGGAAGCTGAGAATTCTATCTATCGAATCACCAATGTCCCCAGGATCATGTCTGAATATTGTTTAAACAATAAAAATGACAAATCTCCCTTTCCTGGCTAAAGTAATTTCTACTTCCTCATTGACTATGGCCTTAGCCCCTCTTTGTTCCCCCCACCTTCTAGATAAAAAGTACAGGCATACCTTATTTTATTGCGCTTCACTTTATTGATTTCACCAATACCGTGTTTTTCACAAATTGAAGGTTTGTGGCAACCCTGCATCAAGCAAGGCCGTCGGTGCTTTTTTTTTTTCAACAGTATGTGCTTACTTCCTGTCTCTCAAGTCACATTCTGGTAATTCTCACAATATTTCAAACTTTTTCATCATGCTATTGAACACTTGATAGACTATAGTATAATGTGAATATAACTTTTATATGCACTGGGAAACAAAAAAAATTGACGTAACTCACTGTCTGATGATTATTTGCTTTATTGCTGTGGGCTGTAACTGAACCCATAGTTATCTCCAAGGTATGCCTGTATTAAGATACCAAATCATAAAAAAATTACCTCTGCTTCCTAACAGTATCCAATCTGGAGTAAATCCCCACTTCTTCAAGTCCTTCTGCAAATCACCTAGCACAAGCCCAATACTATCACAGGTCACAAATGCTTCCAATATCCTCTTACCGAGGTGCCCCATGGTTCCCTATGCTGTGCCATCTCCCTCCTTTACAATAAGCCAAGCAACCCAAGTTCTATGCATATGTGAATACACATGATTGCTCTGTAATTTGCTTTTATCACTTCATATATCTTGGGCATTTTTCATTCTAGTATATCGAGGTTGGTCACTTGCTTTTTAATGGTGGTAAAGAATTGGCAAGGTGTTTAAAATGGAGTCTGACACCTATCTTTTGGTACATTTTTCACCTGATCTCACTTTACCTTTGTCTCCTGTTTTGGTGTAAATCTTGGGGATCTTCAAGGAAGGCTGTGACCTAATGAGAAATAAACATCAAGAGATGCTTAAACCATTAACAGATGAATGAATAAACAAAATATGGTACATCCATACAACAGAATATTATTCAGTAGAGAAGGGAAGTTCTGATACATACCATAATACAGATAAGCCTTGGAAACTTTGTGCTGAGTGAAATAAAGCACAAAAGGCCAAAGAATGCATGATCTCACTTCTATGAAATACCTAAAATAGGTGAAGGAAGAGACCAAAGCTTATCAACTAGTTACCTGAGGCAAGGGGGCAGGGAAAATAGGAAGCTACTGCTTACAGGGCACTGAGTTTCTGTTAGGGATGATGAAAAACAGTTGGAAACAGATAGTGGGGATGGATGCACAGCATAATGGAACTGTTGTCACTGAACTATACACTGAAAATGGTTAGAATGGTAAATGTCTTGCTATATATATTTTACCACAATAAAAAGACAGAGAGAAAGTTACAGGAATGGCTTACACAGTGGACCTCTCCTCCAGTGGGCCACAGCTTGCTGCTTATAACCTTTGGGAGGTACATGTCTTCTCTGCCGGGATAGTAACTTCCTGTTGACGTTATTTTCCCTTCATCCTGTGTTTTGGCTGAGTCTATACCACCTCGGAAACCCAAGGAGGGGTCACTATGAGTCAAACAGACTCAATGGTGGTGAGGGTTTTTTTTTTATCTGCTTAAGGAGCTCTGGTGGCATAGTGCCTAAGGCACTTGACTGCTAACCAGAAAGTTGGTAGTTCAAACCCACCAGCCACTCCTCAGAAGGAAGACTACACTCCACAGAAGGAAGGAATCTACGTCCATCAAGATTTACCACCTCGGAAACCCAAACAGGGTCATTATGAGTTGGAATCAATTTGATGGCAGTGAATTTGGTTTGAGTTCTTTTATATCTGCTTAGCTGCTGATATAGAGCATTGCTCAAAACAGATGCTCAATTAATATCTGCTAAAAGAACTTACTGATCACTTCCTATTGTCCATGCACTGCACTAAGTGGATTGCAAGCATAATCTGGGATATTTCCAACATCCCCGAAGGAAGGCACCTTCATTTGATCATTGAGGACACTACAGCTCACAGAGTGAGAAGTGGGAATGGGCTTCAGGGCCAAAACTGTCTTACTCCACAGCTCAAACTCTCACCTCTACTCCACCCAGAGTCAGGAACCCCTAGACAAGAAACCTGGACCACTTCCATTCGATGAAGCTTCAAGTACACTCAGGAATGAATTGCCAACACGGGGTTCTGAAAAATTACAGTATCTCCAAGTAGCAACATAACATCTTTAACATTGTCAGCCACCATCAAGTTGGCCCAACTCAGGACAAGTCCGTGCACTACAGGCTCAGACCATTATCATACAGGGAGTTTTCACTGGCTGATTTTTCAGAAGTGGACTGCCAGGCCTTTCTTCCCAATCTTAGTCTGGAAGCGCTCCTGAAACCTGTTCAGCATCATAGCAACAAGCTGTCTTGCAGAAATCTTTGCATAAGTGTGCAAAAGGGGTGTATCAGGTGTTTTCCACAGCCTCCACTGACAGACGAGAGATGGCTCTGCCTGAGGAGTGCACTGGCCGGGATTTGAACCCTGGTCTCCCTAGTGGATTGCAAGAATTCCACTCCCAAACCACTACTGTGTGTCTTTAATAAACCCACTGCTGACAATCGGATTCCGACTCACAGTAACCCTATAGGGCGGAGTAGAACTGCCCCACAAAGTTTCCAATCTTAATGGAAGCAGACTGCCACACTTTCTCCTGCAGAGTGGCTGGCGGGTTCGAACCATCAAAACTTTCAGTTAGCAGCCTGGTGCTTAATCACTGCCCTACCAGGGCTCTCTCTCTCTATTTTTAAAATACACCTCAAAATTAAAATGTGGAAATACGCTGTTACTCAAAAGTTAAATCGCTGCACTTATGACATACATTAATTCATTAGTTCCGGTGCTCCACAATTTCTGAGGCCCAGGTGGTATGGTGAAAGCCATCCTTAGATCATGTTGGTGTATCTTTTTGAGATGTCAACATAAAGACTGAGTACCCTCCTCTGAAACAGGGCAAGATGTCCCTTCTGGCCCACATGGCATATACTCTGCCTTACTTGATAGCTGGGCTTCTGACTATCCAAAGAAAACCAGGCGTTTGCCTTCCGCTGTGCCCACGGTGCCATGGTGACGTCAAGAGCTTTTACGTCATCGGGCAGCTGCCTCGATGACCTCACGCGGTGTGACGTACCACTTGGCGACGACGCCCCAATTCACGACAGGTATCAAAGTTAACTTTCCAGTTAGGCACTCACCTATCTCCGTTTTCCACGCCCTGAGGGCCGCGGGTCTGGAAACGGAGACACAGTATCCTGCCGGCGCCGAGGCACCCGCGCAGGCCAAGGCGGCCTCTCAGGCCCCACACAGCCATTTACTGGACCACTGGTAGAGGGCTGACCCCACCAGGTTCCCGTCCAAATCCCGGGGTCACTCCACCTACTGCGGTCCGCGCCTCCAATCAGCGCTCTTTTCCATTGGTCCGTAGTTCTCGCCCCAGAGTGGGGCCTTGCTAGAGACTTGTTTCCTATTGGTTCATGGAAAGGAGCTGGGCGGAGAAGCACGTGTTGCCTGACTACAACACGTATTGGGTAATGCTCAAGCCAATCAGTAAAGGACTGCCGGATTGCGCGTTCTGATTTGCTGGAAGGAGGAAAACACCGCCTCTCCTGGGGCAGAGGCGCTCGCGGGCGGAGGAATTTGGGAGTCGCTTGGATTCCTGTGCTGAGGTGCGACTGTGACTGCAGGTGAGGGGCCAGGCTGGCGGGGACGGGCGGCGCGAGGTCCGAGTGCGAGACCGAAGACCACTGAGGGCCGGACGTCCAGCTTCTCGGGCTTAGTTGGTCCAACTCTGAGAATCCGTCCTGGGAGGCCGGCGACGTACAATTTGACAGACGTGATAGCAAGCGTCGGACAAGTTAGTGTCTTCCCCTCTCTGAGAAAGGGGTTTTCGTTAGTACTTACCTGTTAGTGCAGCTGAAGTTAATAAGAAGGCGCTCCTCTTAAAACCTTAAGTGGAGAATAATTTTGCATTATTTATAAAAATGTATAGTGCATGCACCTGTTGACCCAGCACATCCTGTCTTGGAAGAATCTGCCTGAGTGTTCAAAACAGGGGGGTGTCAAGTGTTTTCTGCAGCCTTGCTCACAACTGTGACACATTGGAAGCAGTCTTAAATGTCCAAGAGAGAGTTCCTTCTGGTCCCGGATTTCATTAAATTTCAACCTTCCATGTTGTTGTTGTTCTGTGCCATCGAGTCAGACCCGACTCATAGCGACCCCTCCTTGCGTTTCAGAGGCAGTATCACTACGGAACTAGATTGCCCCATCTTCCTTCCGAGGAGTGGCTGGTGAGTTTGAACCGCCAGCCTTCTGGATAGCAGTCAAGTGCCTTAGGCACTGTGCTACCAGAGCTCCAGCCTTCCATTGTTGTTGTTGTTGTTGTGGATAGCAGTCAAGTGCCTTAGGCACTGTGCTACCAGAGCTCCAGCCTTCCATTGTTGTTGTTGTTGTTGTTGTTTGCCGACGAGTCGGCCCCGACTCATAGCAACCCCTCCTTGGGTTTCCGAGGCAGTATCACTACGGAAGTAGGATTGCCCAACCTTCCTTCCGAGGAGTGGCTAGTGGGTTTGAACCGCCAGCCTTCTGGTTAGCAGTCAAGTGCCTTAGGCACTATGCTACCCAGCCTTCCATAATCGTAGTAAAAACTGGAACCAAGGACAGAGCCAGTAATAAGTAGCTATCAGTAATCACGCGATTACAATGTGTCAGACACGGTTTCCTATGTTACTTAATTTAATCTTCTCAACAACCCACTGAGGTAAGTACAGTGAATGTCCCTGTATCATATATGGAGAAATTGAAGTTCATAGGCTTTTAAGTGAGTTACTTAAGATCATGTCACTGGAAAGTTGAAGAACTGGGATTTGAACCCAGATCTTTCAGACGCATGCAGTGGACTCCTGTGATGCACTGCCTTTTTTATTACAATGACAGGCTTGAGGTAGGCATTCTCTGAGGTCCCTTCCTGCTGATTCTGACATTTGGGAACCTTTGTTTCTCTCTCTGACTTTCCCTTTCACGTTTCCCAAGAGCCATGTTGTCAGATGTCCTGCTGGTATCGGCTCCAGGGAAAGTCATCCTTCATGGAGAGCATGCCGTAGTCCATGGCAAGGTAAAAAGTCCCCAGCACCTCTGACGATTGGACCCTGCTTCTCTCTGGCACTAATCTCACGTGATGCTGAGATGAGCCCTGAGGCATCCCCTGGTAGCATGTGAGAGAGGAGATCAGTCTCCTCTCAGCCAGACAAGTGAAAGAATAGGCCTCATGCACACAGAAGGGCTACTCTGGTTTCATTCACTAAAATACCAAAAAAAAATACATAAAAACTAGCAAGATGGAATAGGAAAAAGAGGCATATAAAAAGATATCTAAACCCCTGTGAGCGGAATGAGATTATCTAGGAAGACCCTTATCAAGATGGATTGACACAGTGGCTGTAACAATGACGCAAGCATAACAGTGATTGTGAGGCTAGCACAGGACCAGGCAGTGTTCCATTCTGTTGTACAGGGTCCCTGAGTCAGAACTGACTCAGTGGCACTTAACAACATGCCAAAGTGAGCACTGGCAGAGAGGAAAAGAGGGCAGAGGACTAGGTTCTGGGACTCTCTTAGAACCACCCTCTAAGGGACATCCTTTTGTTATCTTACACTATAGGCATGAAAACTAAGGCTTAGAAAAGAATGAATAACTTGACCATGCCACCTAGATTTTGGTCGAGCTAGTAGTGGACTTTTTCCTTCTGAATCCAAAGTGAGCTGCTGCTTCTATCTCATTCCACTCACAAGGCTTTAGATTAGATATGCCTTTTCCACTCATCCACTCTTAAGTGTCATTCCCTATGTTCCCAACTTATATTTATTCAACTTCATTTATTTTTGAGTACGTGATTATGGGAAAGTGGTTACTTCTTTGATGTTTAGAACCTCCAAATCAACTGAGGTTTTGCATGGGGAAGGCAAATGTGCATAGACATTTGCCCTTAGTTGATTGGTAGTGGCTGTGCCCGGGCTTGATGAGACAATGTTGATTAATAGTGTCTGCCAAGAGCAAGGGAGGGGGTGGCCTGTATTGCTAGTTACTAGCTCTTCTGAGCACTTGCTTATTGCCACCCACTCTCAGGCTTATTGCTTTTGCCCTTTATTCTACAGGTAGCGCTGGCTGTGGCCTTGAACTTGAGAACATTTCTCCAGCTTCAACCCCACAGCAATGGGAAAGTGGGCCTCAACTTACCAAACATTGGCGTCAAGCAGGAGTGGGATGTGGCCAGGCTTCAGCTGTTGGACACAAGCTTTTTGGGTGAGCGCAGGGGGGAGAAACCAAGTATGGTGAAAGCCTGGGCCCTGAAGAGAGAGGTGAAGAGGGCCACAGGGTAGTTCTTTTCAGCTGTCCTTAAAGGAGCCAGAGGCAAGCAGTCCTGATCTGGTAATAGTATTTATTAATTTTTAAAATTTAGGAGTGTAAAATGATACACTAGATCTGTGTGGGACAGATTACCAAGACATATTGTTGAGTGAGAAAAACAAATCAAACAGTTTGCATGTTATGATAAGGACTGACACAAGTTACATGTAAGTATGTATGTCAGAGAGCAGGAGAGGTCTGGGGAGAGCATAGTCATCAGACTGACATTGGTTACCTTTGAGGCCCCTTTTGGGGACGGACAAAGGGGATCTTCTATAGTGCTGGTGTTTTTTAGCAAGGAGATTCTGTTGGCATTTTGTATAATTAGAAATTATTAAAAATAAAGTTAACTCATGCTTATTATTGGAAAATGCAGTCAATACTGGGATATCGTGAATAAAAATTACTTACTCCTCCGCCTTTCCCCAGTAATGACTAAACATTTTGATAGTGTGCGTACTGCATGCTTTTCTGTGGATAGATACTTAGATAGATTGAGATAAGGGTTGGTGTTGTTGTTAGTCCGACTCATAGCGACTCCTCCTTGGGTTTCCCAGACAGTATCACGATGGAAGTAGATTGCCCAATCTTCCTTCCAAGGAGTGGCTGATGGGTTTGAACCACCAGCCTTCTGGTTAGCAGTCAAGTACCTTAGGCACTATGCTACCAGAGCTCCTGACATAAAGGAGTAACTTTTTATTTTTTTTGTATCCAGAATTGGACCAAACCATAGAAACTGTTCAGCAATGTGTGTATGTGTTTTTGTAGATCAGAGATGTCCTTCCATGCCAATAGAAGCTTACATGATCATGTTTGATAGCATGGGGAATGCAGTGTCCACCCAGAAGCAGGCAAGTTTGTTTTCAGTCACAGAGTTCCCAACCCTACTGAAGCTGGAGGGTGTTCTCAGTGTGCTGTCTCCTCTCTGAGATGAGGCCTTGTTTGGAGCAAGCTTTCTCAGCCACAGGGGGGGCCCATGAGGTTCCTCAGAGACCTTTTCCCAAATGCCGAATCACCCCACAGCAAATCACTCAGGCAGTCCCTTGTAGCAAGATGAAGGAAGAGTCGAAAAACATCTGTCTTAGTTATCTAGAAGGAGCTCTGGTGGCATAGTGGATAAGGCATTTGGCTGCTAACCAGAAGGTCAGCAGTTCAAACCCACTAGCTGCTCTGTAGGAGGATGATGAGGCAATCTCCAACCTTGGAAATCCAGTAGGGGTTGCTGTGAATTGGAATTGACTTGATGGGAGTGGATTTGGTTTGGTTTGGTTTAGTTATCTAGTGCTACTGTAACAAATACAACAAGTGGGTGGCTTTAACAAGCAGAAATTTATTCTTTCACAGTTTAGGAGGCTAGAAGTCCAAATTCAGGGCACTAGCCCTAGGAGAAGGCTTTCTCTCTCTCTGGGCTCTGGGGGAAGATGCATAAGTCTTCAGCTTTTGTTTTTTGGTTCCTTGGAGGTCACCATGTGGCACAGCATCTGTCTCCTGTCTCTGCTTGCTTTTCTATCCTAATCTGTATTTTTTTAAAATGTTTCAAAGGTGATTGGCTTGAAACATACCCTATACCTGATATAATAAAGAAAACCCATACTTACATGGGTCTAGGGTTAGGATTTACAACACATTTTTGGGGGACATAATTCAATCAATAATACCCCCATTTCAGAGCAGTCATTTTCAACTCCAGTCATCCCTTGGTGTTATCTGTGGAGGGTGTTTTCTTCTCAGTTCTTTATTATTTCCTTTTTTTCCATAGCGTTGGCCTTAGTGTGCTCTTCTTTTTCTAATTCTTCAAGTTACAAAGTTAAGCTATTGATTTAGGATCTTTCCTCTTTTTTAATACAGGCAGTTATTGCTATAAACTTTCCTGTATCTTACAAGTTTGGGTATGGTGAGTTTCATTCTCATATGACTCTAAGTATTTTAGACCAACCCTTTTCTAAACTCCAGAGCCCAGGCTCTTCACAAATCTTCCACCTCCATTACCAAGCTCTGGGATGTCTGGACTCTCCAAAATGTTGTCATTGACTTGGCTGCTTTTAATGTATCATTAATTTGTTCAGCATGTGTTTATCAAGGACTTAATATGTACCCTGAAGTTTCCTCACACAGGCACACCCAATTCAACATCACATTCCCTTAGAATCCAACCCAGGGATCAGGGAGTGATTTGGAAATGTGAGCTGGTCAGACTTGCTGAGTTTCTCAGAAAAGTAGCCCAGCCTCCTATGTGCCACTTGGGAAGAAATTGCTACCTCACTTTTCCCTCCTGCCTAAGCAAATCCCAACACTTCAAAATCACTGGTCTTATTTGAGTGGCCTATACTCAAATAATGTTATGTTTTTGGGGAGGGTAATATCTTGGGAGTGCTTAATACTCCCATTGGTTTGGGTTTTATAATACAGTAGATGAAGCCCAGGCCTTAAGTGACTGAGCTAGCATTCATTGTGTGTATTTTAAAACTCCTGTTAATTAAGCACTTAGTACGTGTGCAGGGAGCTGTGCTGAGGATCTTACACATCTTGTTTACCTTTATCTTCATAGCAGCCCTGTAAAGAGGTGCTGCTGTTAGCTCTCTTTTACTGAGGAGGGAAACTGAGGTTCAGAGAGGTTAAGTCACTGATCGTGGCCACAAAGCTATCAAATGGCACAGTCAGGACTCACACCCAAGTCTGCCTACCTCCAAAACCTGAAGTCAACCAAGAGACTTGGGTCTAGTGCTTGGCCTAAGAATTCCTTTCCATCTAAATTCTTGTTCCAGTAACTGTTCAGTTTTGTGTATTCTGTTGTTTTTAAAAGCCCCTGAGGCCTTCTCACCCACCTGTGTTTGCTTGTTTGCCTGTGTGATAGGTGATGGCCCAGCGCCCACCCCAGAGCAAGTGGAGAAACTGAAAGAGGGGGCAGGCTTCTCTGAGGACTGTGCCGTTACTGAGCGCCTGGCTGTGCTGGCCTTCCTTTATTTGTACCTGTCCATCTGCCGGAAGCAGAGGTTTGTGTGCAATCGGGGAGAGGAGTTCAGGTTCAGCCTCCCCAGGTATTTGGAAGGGTTTCTTAAGTTACTGCTGCCAGGCGATTCACATGCTCCCTTTCAGGTCACTAACAACAGCAGCCATCAGCTGTCATCACCATGTGCCAGGAACCATGCTAGACACTTCTTACGATACTCTTTTGATAGTCATGACCCTATGAGAGAGGCACTGCCCACATTTTACACACAGGGAACCTGAGGCTCAGAGCAATAAAGATAGTTAAGGCCAAGCAGCTAGTTAGTAAGTGGTAGAACTGAGAAGTTAATTCGGTTCATGTTAGTACCAACACATATTCTTAACCCTATCTGCTGCCTTTGGTCCTTCCATTTAGTATAACCAAAGCCAGATGCCATTCTTGGATCTCCTGTGTGGTTTCCACAGAGACACCTTTGCTCCACCTTGCACTAGCTCCAGACACGCTCCCTGATTAGCAAAATAAAGCATGTGTCTGCACCATCTTTTACAATAAGATCTGAGTTTTCTGCCCTTTGGGAAGCCAGCTTCTTGAAGGTGACAGTATGGTTAACGAAGTCATCTGGTGAGAAAGAGCACTGGCTCAAGAGTCAGACCGTGTGGCACTCCCTAGCGCACCTGAGGTTCTCAGCCTTCCTGAGCCTCAGCTTCCTCTTCTGTGAAAGGGGAGCAGTAATTGTATCTACCTCCTAAGTTCTTGTGAGTTTAAATAGGTTAATTTACACGCAGTGCAGTGCCTGGCACATAGCTTGATAAGGTTCACTATTCTTATTTTCAATTGCCTTAGGATTATTAGGTGGCTTAGAATTATTTGATGTTGTGGGCCGAGTGGAATACCTGGCACATAGTGAGTGCTCACTGTCCAGAACCCAGAGGGAAAACCTCAAGGGGCAGCCCCTCCCTCCTACAGCAGACGCCAATTAAACATCATTCATATTTGGGGATGTCTGACACTTGCAGCCGGATGCGAGGCTTTCCATCTGAGAGTGGCATGGCCCCTTCATGGACAGCATTTCAGAATCACCTGAGATAGGCATGTGTAGTTTGAAAAGGCATGTTCAGTGCTATAATTTTATATTTAGAAAATGGGAAAAATACTTAAGGGAAATTACAGAACGTGATGTTTGACAGTTCTCAGTTAAGGGAATACACATAAGAGGCAGTTATCCTGAACTTTCCTGTTTTCAAAAGCAGACCTGTATTATACATGGTTGGGAAGCATTGTGTGATGGAAGAAGCCGCCACATGAACACAGAGTGCACTGCACTGAGGCAAGGGTAGATTAGAATTACGTGCTGTGGGTTCGAAATGGAGAGCTAAGAGTTGCCATTGTGGTGGTCAGGGAAACGTCACAGAGGATTGACATCTGAGAAGGGTCTTGAAGGATAAGTAGAAATTCCCTGAAGGATAAAGAGGTACGAGGCTATTTGAAACAGAGGGACTAGCCTATACTAAGTGCTGGACCATGGAACACGTTCCGGGAATAGGAAGGCATTTAGAGAAAGGGGCTGGTGGTTTGTGAGGCACTTTTCAGAAGAGATCTGGTTGGATAGTGTGGTGATTTAGGTAAATCTGATGCTTGTTTTCTAGTTGCCTGATTCACCACAAGTTCTTGCCATCCAATAGGGATGCCTTTGGGATCAAGAAATCTCTGAGAGTTTAGAAAACCAAGGCTAATGCTTAGAAGTCAGGCCCTGGGCCACAACCCTTGGTTTAGTGAGGGCATCTCACTGCCCTCAAGAGAGTCACACTTTGCACCCTGGTGTATTTCAGGGCCCTGCCAAGCCTGGACATCGTGGTGTGGTCAGAGCTGCCCACTGGGGCAGGCTTGGGCTCCAGTGCTGCCTACTCAGTGTGTTTGGCAGCCGCCCTGCTGACCACGTGTGAGGAGATCCCCAACCCGCTGAGAGACGGTGATTGTGTAAGCAGGTAATCACATTCTCACCCTGGTCACTGTCCTTCCTGGGCACTGGGAACCACACACATACTCTCTCATTGAGAACTCACCACAACCCCATGAGGAAAGTGGTGCAGAGGTGTCTGTTCTACATAATGAAGATGAGGCACCCAGAGGCCAGGTGGCTGGCCCCAGGCTACACAGCTGGTGAGTGGATTTGAGCCCAGATAATCTGAATCCAGAGCCTGAGCTCCTCACTCCTGCACTGAACTGCTTCTGTTTCCCCATCCCTCACCCTCCCTCATCTTGCCTCTTTTGGGTTAAAGTACCTGTAGTATGGTAGACGCTCTGAGGATGAATGTGGAGGGCAGTGGGTTAGATGAACCTTGGACGCCCACCTCTGCTGTTCACCTGTGGGACCGCGGCCCAGCCACTGCACCCCTGGAGCTCCAGCTTCCTCCTGTGTAAAATGCCATGAGAACACTGAAGGGGCTTGTTGAGAGTTTGTACCAGCCTCATATGTTACTGGCTCTGTTTCTGTGGTTGGTTTGTGACTTAGGAGATCTTGTGTGTTACAGAGTTGAACTGCTCTGTAGGCTTTTCTTTCTTTTTTTAAAATACATTTTATTGAAATATAACTTATGTATAGTGAAATACACAAAACTAAAATGACATGGATCAATGCTTTTTTTTTTTTTTTTTTGCATTGTTCCCTCCCCTCCCCTCCCATCCCTGGTAACCAGCAAAGAAAGTTTCATTCCATATATAAACCTTTCCTTGACCTTTTACCCTAATGAACTAATAAAATATTTGTCTTTCTGCAATTGACTTATTTCACTCAGCATAATGTCCTTCATGTTCATCCACGTTA